TGGAACATCGAACATATCTATAATAAAATTTACTTACTGGTAACTTTATCAAGGGCATCTTGGTTTCTGAGAATAAGTTCTGCGCGCCATCGATTTACTAGCGTAAAGTTATTCCATACTGTGAGACAGTTTCGGGTCTTCTTATCTCTTGATTAATCCATTTGGCGAGTAATGAGCCCCATATTAGAGACAGTCTCGCTTCAACGCTTGCACTGGATGCATTAAGACAGCAAGCAGCGAAGTGGAGTGAATAACAAATGCGCACTCAAATCAATTCTTTAGAAGATTAGAACTCGTTAATCGTTCGAACAAAGGAGTTTGAATACTGAATAGGGGGTGTCATTTCTGTGTTTACTCTGTTCATTTTCGAAAGGTTGTGCCAGTTAGACGCAACCGAAAAGCAAATATAACATTTCTACTACATTGAAATTGGCCGAAAAATATAGTGTAATCGAAAAAACAAAAGTGACTAAATTAAAAATGATGCGAGCCTAGGATACTTGACTAATATGCCACACTGATCGTAAACAATGTAAGTAATTATATTTTTTAGCCGCGATTAAAATAAAACAGCTATGAATTTTTTGTTTTAAGACTTTTTTGTTTTGAGCTAGGACACTTGAAAAAAAGAAATGTTATTCTCGAGAAGTTTGGAAAATGTTTTACAGGTTTCTAATTTGAATTAATCCGATGCATTTCTTCCTAATAGCGTTACTGATTTAAATTATATTCAAACAGTAAGCTATTTTCTTTTTGATGTTAAAAGCAATATAACAATGCAGAGGACAGTGTCTCTTTGTTGCACCGAAAGTTACTGATGTATTTTCCGGAGTAATAAAAAAATCGTATAACATAGATCAAATATGGCCAGCTGTATTTAAAACCGCTGACCAAACGCTGCAACTTCAAGACTGGACCATTGACTGGAACCTGATTTGAAGCAATTATAGAGTCACCAGCAAAATTTTACACTATTTTATGAAACTCGAGTTATATCCACTGGTGTAAATTGAGAGTAAATGATGCATTATTTCAGTATTTTTATCATTATAGCTTACAGATAATTGTACTCGATCAAGACACCTCGAGTTCTACGCAATATGCTTTTTTTTTATCGTTGACATCAGCTCTTTATGAAACAGTGGTCATATCATCCATGCTTTTAGTGACAAGAAATTGAATAGGCACCTTAAGCGAAGATAATGGTTTCACTGTTTTCTCTTGGTTTTAATAGTTGTTGAGTAATTTTAGAAAAGGTAAAAATCTCTCCTGTAAAGTTTCTAACGGACGATTTTCTAATTTCTTATTGGAAATTTGCTCATAGCCAGCATTGTTCTTTTCTGTTTTGTTTTAATTTTTTTTGGTTCGTTGTTTTTTTTTTCCAGTTTTTTTTTTTTTACCGTTGGCAAGTAACTCACCTCTACTGACAGGTTTTTTAATCGCTTTCTATGCACAGAAAGCCGGATAACATGACAAGTTAAAGCCTCAGTCCTTCGTAAGGTAGATATTTGAAAGATCCTCTTTAGATCAGTATCTGACACAAATTTCGGCAAAGATTGAGGATATAGTCATTTACATTTTGAACCTATTCAACGAACGCATGACTTTAAGAGCGCTTCTGTTTAGGATGTTTCCTGACACACCTGTTTGTTTGATTCTGTCATGACTGAGTTCTGCTCAGTTATGTTTGATCGAAAAAGCGGTTTGTATTCAGTTTGCAGTTCTGCCATCAGTTCAATAATTGTTCGACTCATTTCTGCCAGTTCCTGTAATTTGTGTCTCCACTGCGCTTCGAAAATTTCCATTAACAGAAAGGAAGCTCAAAGAGAACAAAGTCAAGGCAAAAGGCAAATCCTTCAGAGGTGAAATTAAGTAAGAAAGAAATAAATGGACGTAGATTTCAACAACATGTCAAACCTACAAATATCAGATTATATCACGCTATATTTCTTACGATATGTACAAACATCAAAGCAAATATTTAACCAACAGACTGATGTGTAATAAATCGGTGCAAATAGTTTTTTCAAAGTAATATTTTATAAAGTTAAAGATCAGGCTAACAGAACGAGTTTTTAAGGATATTATGTTAAATCAAAGGAAAATACCGAATTTGTCTCTTGCATTGTTGATTTTTACACACGCTGTTTCAGAATTCAAATTCAAAATTCTTTGTCAATATCTCAGTGATTTTGAGGTCACTCAAAGTAATGGTTTACTTTTCAACATAAGAATACACTATCGTATTTCAATTTACGTAAACATTAACGTGCAGAATAACTTTACTTTTGGATCAATTTTTAAAGAATAATTACATGCAGGTTCACGTTGTTCTAAAGTAGACGGTAACTTTTTCCTCTTTGTCCATTGTAATTAAGATGTGTGAGCCAATGAAAATGAAACAGAGATAAACTGACAACAATTTGAAATCAAACAGAAATGAGAGTGGGTCGGCTTCAATCTGCGCCATTTAACTTGTCGTCCACATTACGTGGAGAAAACATAATTGCCTTTTTTTTAATTCAGACAAAATGTGATGTAATCTTGATCAGTTTAGGATGAAAAGTCCCGGTTATCACAAAATGACAAACAAAGTCAATAGCTAATTGGTTATTTCGTTTTTTTCTTTTTTAATGTCTATTTATCTAAAAATCTATAAAGGGAAGATACCATTTTATTAAATGATAACTGAATTGAAATCAGGGGACAGTGTCATGTGTTTTCTTTACGCCACTCATCTGATTTTAATTTTGATTTCACGGTGGACAAATCATCCCCAAATTTAGTATCATTGCTATTTACGCCGAGACCAAACTAGATCTGGCTAGATTTAAAGTTTTCATTCGGCAAAGTCATACTAGATGAACCAGATATCAGAGAGAAAAAAATATCAAAATACTTGGAACGCTTAATATGTATCGTGTTCTGTATCATTTACGGATATTAAAATTGCTTTTGTATCTTTCTATGGTTATTTTTGTGGCAAACTGATCTTCAACTCATCCAAATAAATCAACATCTACCATTTTAAACCTTTAAAAACCACAAACTCCTTTGCATTAAACTGATAATTTTGGAAAAAACTCGTCTTTTAAGTATTCCAAGTCTCTAATGCGACTGAACATCGATAACCAGACATTGGATTGTCACCCCACGCAGTAGGTAATCCTCAGGATTCTTAGTATAGGAGTGTGAATTCTCCTCCTCCCCGTGGGGGGGGGGGGGGGTGTCACGAGTGCAGTAATGGAGAGCATTGTGTATACCGAACATGCCCGCGGTATGTTGGTTACACTGCCTTGTTGCCTTGGTAAGAGAATATAGAAAGTTTGACTTCTCGATACTTACAGTTCATATTTCCAAAGTTAGCATAGAAATTATGTTGAATATGGCATCCAGTTGTCGCTGTTAAAAACGAAGTGAACGTTTTTCACAGAGACGCAAGAAAGACATTCAACAACGAAAGACGAATGAGATTTACGTGGTGTTTAAGTGTGAAAAGAGGAAGTCAGTTTTGAATTTATTCTCACTAGGATCGGTAAAAAATTACAAGCACCTTCATTATTTTAAAAGAAAAGATAGCAAACCTTGTGTCTTTGTGTTGCAAACTGATCCTCTAGTCATGAACTCATTATCAATATTGTGTTCAAAAATAAAATATAAATGGCTGCGAAAAAGCTTGTTGTCAGCTAGTTTAGGGGAAAAAAAAATATGTTTGTGTTTGTCTTGACATGACTAAATCTACCTTTGTACTCAACTATATAGTTATACGCATTATCTTCGAGTAGTCCTGAAATTATTTGCAATGAATAGGACTTCCGCAACAACGCTTGGCTTTTAACTTGGAATCAAATATTAGTTCGTATGAAAGCTATTCTTCGTCCTCAATTATCAAAAGAGATCACGTTTCGCGCGTCCTTCAATTTTCCGGCAGTGAATTACAATTGGTCTTTTTTACCATCCATCTTTCAAATAAACACACCGCCTTCAAGACATATACTTATAAATTAGCAACGATCTTGCGTCGACCGCTACAGGGGCGGCTTGGTTTAGGCGAGCTAATTATTTTTAAATGACAAAATATATATAATTTCCAATGATGCTGATCTTTGGCAATTTCTCAGTCACGTATTTCGTTTTTTTTTTCATTATTGTTGCAGAACGACTACTTAGTTTCATCTGGTACGACCACAGCAGGGAGCGAAAAAAACTTACTTTGTGTTTCTGACAGGCAATGCTTCATAGAAGAGTCGTGAACTGTTGATTTTCAACTGTGATTAAAATTCAGGTCCGCCAGGTGAACTGGTTCGGACATAATAAACAAATTTTCAATGACGAACAAGGGACTATTCTCCGCGAGATACTCCAAGAAAATTAGTTCAAAACCTGATGATTTATACTCGCCGCTTTTAAAGAAATGCAAAACAACGCTACTAACCTTCGCCGTTCGTTATTTCACCATAAATTTTTCGGAAACTGTGAGCGATTCCTCGAAGTTTACCATTATCATTCTCAAGTTTGACGCATTCAACAAAGATTTTAATTTTACTGGTGCGAAAAACCAAAACAGGACGTTACATGTACGACTTACGCCGGCACCTCATAATAAAACTTTTACGATAGCATTTCCCCCAGTACAGTCTTTAAATTTAAACTTTGCGTTACAAAAATATCCTCCATCCAGGCTGTTGCCCTAGTTCGGTTTTATTATTTCATTAAATTTTTATCGTTTCGAATTCTGTAAATTCCATGTTTCTGAACAGCGAGTTGAGGTCTCGTTTCGGTTCATACGCATGGTATTAAAGCCTTTAGATTTTATTTTTTTAATAAGAAAAGAGAACTGGCAACAAATCCGACCGGAAAAGAGGGCTATAAAAAGATCTTTCCCAAAAACACAAGAGAGATTCGCGAACACCTTTTCTTAATAACCGTTCTAAGGAAAGATTAAATAAACTACTTTACAGACAGACAGTAATAAGGAAATAAAAAGGGTATGTACTCACCCACCACATCTAAAGAATATGCAAAGAAGAGCTCAGAATAAAATGTTTTCCAAACAGGACAGCTTTCCTGCCGGGGACTAGATGTATTGAAGTTTGCTAATTCACACACGAGCTTGTTTCAATCGCAGGCCGGATGGATGAACACGATAAACAATTTATTGTGATGGTTTGACGGTGAACGTAACAATTGTTCAATAGGCTCTGTAGGAGCTGAGCTGCCTGAATTGCTCAGTATATGGATATTAAGCTTCCTCTTGACGGAATAACTGCCTTAATCGATGTAAGCTTCGGTGACAAAATCAGTCCTGCTCGACTGACAAAAGTTTTTCGCGTAAATACAAGCTCAAGTTGAGTGAAGAGTGTCAAGTTTCTTCACATTTATTCCAAGATTATCTAGCCCATTGTATTTAAATTCATCCGCCCGCGAATATTAAGGGTTATCAAAGTCATCTTAAAAAAAAAACAGAGATCACATTTCCTCGACATGAATGAAAAAAGGAAGACATATAGTGCTACTTAACAACATTTTAAAGATGTCTACAAATATTTCTGTTTTTCCAAAAATTGTGGAAATAAATACAATTACCAAAAAAAAGGAAAAAACCGTCTCTAGTTAGTTATTAAAATGAAAGACTTGCTGTAGCTTCTAATCTGCGGTACTGCTCAATTCATGAAATATTTTAACGACAAAAGAATTCTGAGTACATCACATTTCTCATTCAAACAAAATGCAAATGATGTTCGGTCAATAAAATACGTCTTGATTTATTGTCACTGTGCAAAATGGAGTTTACGTTTATCAAACACACAGTCAGGCTTTCATTTGCGGTTTTAAGCGATAACAAAATTATTTCAATATCAATAACGAAGAAAACTGAAACTTTAGATCAAGTTTTAGACTGAATTACGCTCGAAATTAAACAATTAAATTCTCAACTTCACATGCAAGAACTTGAGCCCAGTGTGGTTTCGCACGTGTAAACATCGTGAGGCGTACTTTCGTTTAAGTATTTATACCCGCAAGCTACAACTTACATTAAATACTTTTTTTTTTTTTTAGTGATTCACCTGGTCTCCCTAGTGGTGAAAGTTAAAATAAGGAAGATGAAAAAAAAAAAAAAAAAAAAAAAAAAAAAAAAAAAAAAAAAAAAAAAGGAAGGGAGGGAGGGGAGGGAGGGGAGGGGTCAAAATCGACCTTTAGAAGATACGACACTATTCTCGAGTCGTTGTTGCTGGCGCTGAAAATTGTTCTGAATCAGAACGAAAAATTTTAATTAATAGTTTAAGATTCAAAAACCGAAGAGGAAGGATACCAAAAGGAACAAGGATAGGACAAGGATGGACCAAGCATAGGCCAAGGATGGGCCAAGGATGGAGAAGATTGACACCAATTGATTACAAGGAATTGCAATTGCTCGAGATGTGAAAAAACGGTCACGTTTCTTATTTAATCATCTCCTTCACCATAGTCATCAAAAATATCGTAGGCCTCGATATCATCGTCTTGTTCAAGCATTTGCAAGTAGTTCTGAACGCCTTCATGTCCTGTCCACTCGTCCCCTGTGAGTTCTAATTGAGATACCGACGCCTCTGTCCCCTCTCCCAACTGTTCCTGTCTAAGTTTCTCGGCTAGTTCAGTAGTCCGTTGGTAAAGAATGGACCTGATCTGATCACTTGTGCCAGGTAAACACCAACCATCGCGCTCCTGACACTCCTCTTCCTAGGAAACGAATTAAATATCCACCCATTCTCGAATGTTGGCCATTTAAACGCAGGCAAGCGGAAAACGGTTACCGGTCATTTCGCCGACACGATAACTCATCTCGCCGTCACCTTTGGTCACCTCGCCGACACCACTGGACAATTTTCCGACGTCAGTTCGTCGACTAACTTTCTTACTCGAATTGTTACGCCGTTTACCTCCCCTTTGAAAACAAAGTTAAAATCGGGGCCTTTAATGACAAAACTAAAACAGTTTTGAATGAGAACGTACCAACCTATACTTACTTTGACTGAAGATAAATTTCGAATGACCAAGTACGTCGGTGAAGTGACTGGTTTGTCTGCGAATCGACCAGAAAACACTGTTGGTGAGTTGACTGAAGGTGTCGACGAGTTGATTGAAGGTGTGGGCGAGTTGACTTGTGGTGTCGGCGAGTTGGTTGTTGGCGAATTGACATGTCGGCGTAGCGACTAGGTACCGAAAGAACACACATACAAATGACTCTTTTTCAATTTAGGTAAAACAGAAATTAAAAATGATTTTTTTTGCTGCTAAAGAGCCTGATCATAACAGAATCAATTGACACCAATATCTTGCAAAATTCTTTCACAAATGATAACTGAGTTACATCAATTCGTATTCAACGAGTGGAGAATTTGTGAAGATTCACTCCTGATAAGGGAATTTTAATGAAGCAGTTATAGCAAATAAGTGAAACCTGAAAAAACATAAAGGCTAAAAGTTTCTAAAGAAACTTTGGTGCTGCGTCGGTGGGGGTAACAATGTAATTTGGTTATATCAACTCAGTTGAAATATGTAAATTGGCCACCGTGACGAATAAAAAAGCTGACGTTTCGAGCGTTAGCCCTTCGTCAGAGCGAATGAAGAAAATAACCCAGGTGTTAACGGTGCTTGCACCTCAGCCTTCCCTAAGGGTTTTACTATCAACAAACACAGTTGCTACTTTACAGTCCTTTTTTTCTACCACAGGTGTCCCGCTTGAAAAACTGCCCTTTCCTCTCCAAGTTCGAAATAAGTACGGAATACATAAATGGAAAATAAGATTAAAATCATTGTATTGTTTAATGGTACCTGTGATCACCTGTGACGCATAATAGTAGTTATTGTAGCAACTTACCTGACCATCATTTCTGCCAAGAAGTCTTTGAATCTCTGGATCATGAAGGTCACATACTTGGTAGAACAATTGTTTCTGTACAGGCATTTTATTAGGAGTAAAGACATATGGTAAATCTGGCTCTTGATTTTGCTTCTCCTCTGCCTTTTTCTCACCTTCCACCATAACAACTTCTTTAACCAAAGTTCCTTGAGTACTATTAGTTCTTCTGACCAAGTTTGGAAGAACATATTTGCTTAAACTTCTCTTAGCTTTGATTGGAAGATTTTTGGCCCCTTTCCTGCTACCAACACGGAAGTCAAGCATCTGATAACTGTTTAAGATAAAAAATGGTAGATACAGAGGAAAAATAAACTTTTTATGACATTTTCAAGAGGTCTTAGAACTTATTTATGAAAATGTTTGTATGAAATCCTCACTGTAAAAATAAAATTTCATTAAATTGTTCATTAGAAGTGTTATTTAATTACATAATCAGGAAGGTAGTGACTAGTTTAAAATAAAAGAAACAGATATCTGCCATTTGAAAATAGAATTTTGTGTGGACTGACATTTTGAATTGTTCTTGGTAGGAAACCTGCCAAAACTTGTGCAATAGTAATAAACCCTCTCTGATAAACACCCATCATCATTTGTTCTTGAATATTATCTGTTCCCTAAAGCTCCATTTTTTTTAGGTTTGCTCTTAGAAAACTGTTCACTTCTATCATGATAAAATACCAGTATATTCAAATTTCTGCAGTCAAATATCTCAAATATCTGACTTTTGAGCATATTATGCACCACCTGAAAGCTATTGTTTAACTTACATTTTGGCACTGGGGTCTTTGCGTGGATCATATCCAATTCGGGTCCATAAAGTCCTCCATGGTCCATTAAGCCAATAATAAGCTGTGCAGGCTAACAGCTGTTTCATCCTCTCCTGTGATGCACTTGTTATGTGGCATTGAAATGCTGAGCGAGACCAAATAGGCCTGTTAGCAAACAGTTTCTTTATCACATCCATTAGACCATCTTTTGGTCGATTTGCAATTTCTTCTGCTTTGGGATTTGCAGCAGTTGGAACTTCAGGAGTATTAAAATTTATAGCAATTGCATAAACTGGTCTTCTGGTTCTTGCTCTTGTTCCAACCAAACTGGAAATCAGGTAATGACAATTTTTGAACAAAAGGTAATAACTTTTAGGAATGATTGGCAGCAGTAACAAGACTATGCATACTGGTGTTATGGTGAAAAGGCTTAATTCTGTCATGTGACAGTGTTTTCAATTCATTATGTGAGGAGAAGTTGTTTCCTGATCACTCATCACTCTTTGGAGAGAAAGGGTTTCTTGAAGGCAAATTTATATATTTCACTTTATATGTCACAAAATGTCATCCTCTACCTTTCTTCCTCCTTGTCATTTCCTTGATCAGTTTTACCACTTCGTGGCACAGACTCAGCATTGTAGTTGTAATTTATTGGATGATCAAATCTTGTAAACACAGGAGGTTGCAGGTGATAAGGGACATCTTGATTTAATGCAGCCCCATCAGTGACTTGTTTCAAGACATCTGACAATTCAGGAACAAGATACTGAAAATCTGCCATAACTTCAAACCTACAAAATCAACAGGTACTGGATGCAACATAAAAGAGTTTCTTCTGTGGAATTTATATCCCACTATGCTACAGCATCAAAACCAAGTATAATATTTGTACTTATTAATCAACTGTATGACCTAAAAAATTCAAATGTTACGAAGTAAATACACTACGGTTCAGGACCTTTTTGTACAAGAGTTGATCTGTAGTCCCAAAGAATACGTAACAATTATTCCATGAGTGCGCGTTGGATATGAGATGATAGATAGCCAACAAGGCGCGTAGCGCTGAGTTGGCTATAATCATCTCATATCCAACAAGTGCAAGTGGAAAAAAAAACGCCCCCAAGATACTAGACAAATCTTCTCGACTTTATTTTGTAAGAAGAAACCAGATTCAGTCTTCCTGTTGACCAAACCGAAAAAGTTTGCTTTATACGAGGTACATGTATAAGGAATACATGTATCAGTTTTAACAGTCTGTCAATGGAAACCATAGGGTCCTTAGAGGAAATTTACTAAATTTAAAAAGTAATTGCCTTCAAGAACACCATTCAGATGGCAATTACCAACCCTTCCTTCTAGGCCAGTGAAATTGTCAACATAGAGTACCCTGGACAGGATTGACTGGGAGGGGGAAGGAAGAAATGAGTGAGGAAGTGGAACATGGAACATTTACAAGTCTTACCCGAAGACAAACTTATCAGTAAATACCACATTCATAGAGTTTATCTTTGCAAAAATTTACATGGATATTTTTCTGCAGATATTATTTCTTCTGAGATACAAACAGTTTTCTGAGAGCAAAGCTTGAAGAGAACTATGAGCTTCAAGGAACAGATAGCCTATTTTCATACAAATGGTGGCTAGTGTGTTTTATTATATTTTTGTAATCTATTGGACTAAATGTTTACACACAGCTCACTATTTGCTGTGTGGGATGTTCCCTTTTTAGTGTTCTCTGGTACAACTTTAGTTATAAACATATAACTTCTTCTGTAACAACCACAAAAAAGCTCCCTGATCTTGCATAAAATTTTAAGGGAGGGCATTTTGAAGCACATTCTCTGATAAACCCCTGTTTAAGCTGGGGCAGATTCAGTCACTTGATGCATCTAGATCAATTGCGTGTGAACAAAAATATGTGATGGAATATAGATGCCAAATGCTAAAATTCACAATACAAGAGATAATTTGCAGCCTTATCCAAGTTTCCAAGTTATGTTAAGAGAAAGACTTTTTGTAAAACCTTCTCTGCTTACCTATAAAAAAAAAAAGACCCAGGAGCCTATGTGACTACAGGTCTGTTTTAGAACATTATGAGGTTATATGGAAATCTTTCAGTGTTACCTTTCTCGGTAATTTTACCTTAGTCTCATATGTGTAACCAACCCAAGGCGGGATTCATGGAAAGATTCACTCTGACGAAGGGCTAACCCTCGAAACGTCAGCTTTTTAACTCTTTATGGCAGCCAATTTACAGTTCCAACTTAGTTGATATTACCCAATTGCCTTGTTACCCCCACTGACGCAGCACCACTTTAGAAACTTAGCCCCTTTATTCATGGAAAGAAATCAGCAGGAACTATCTCTTCAGCAGGAGCTATCTCTTCTTTCACAAAATAATACGTGATTGACAGCAATTGTGAAAAACCTGGGTT